TGGAGCAGCCAGGACTCCAGCCAGTGCACATATGGGATGCCAGCATTACAAGCAGCGGTTTAATCTGCTATGCCACAACACTGGCCCCACCTCATGGTTCTTTTTTTTTTTTAAGATTTATTTATTTATTCGAAAGTCAGAATCACATAGAGAGAGGAGGGGCAGAGAGAGAGTGAGGTCTTCCATCCAATGGTTCACTCCCCAATTGGCTGAAACAGCTGGAGCTGCGCCATTCCGAAGCCAGGAGCCAGGAGCTCCTTCCGGGTCTCCCACATGGGTGCAGGGGACCAAAGACTTGGGCCATCTTCTGCTGCTTTCTCAGGCCATAGCAGAGAGCTGGATTGGAAGAGGAGCAGCCGGGTCTCGAACTGGCACCCACATGGGATGCCGGCGCTTCAGGCCAGTGCGTTAACCTGCTGTGCCACAGTGCTGGACCTTAATTTATTGCATAAATGTAAGCATAGAAAGAAGTGAGAAAGTTACTCACAGATCAATCAACTTAATACTCAGTTGTTCTCAATATTTTATGTTCCTTTCTAGCTTGTGTCTCTATGAGTGCATTAGTTTGATGTATTGTGATCAAGTTTGGTATAATATAATTTTTAATTGGCATTTTGAAACATGACATTGAGCATGTTCCTTTTTTTATTGTGTTAGTCTTCATAATTAGAGATGGAACTTGCTTTTACTTCAGTTTCAATCTGACAAGAAGAAATGAGGGGATGGGAGTGGAAAGTGCTGAGTTAGAGCATGGAAGAGCACAGAGGACATGGGGACATCTACTGAGCCAGTCCCTATTGTGTGGGTCCTGTCTTCTAGTTACTCCTGCTGTCACCTTGCTGTGGCATGCTGGGTAAGGTAGCATGGCCAATGTCAAGGCTTCAGAATGCGTTGGTTAGCAATGTGGTGTAAGTAACCATACAGATGCTTAGGTTTGTGTCCCAGCCCTGCTTCCAATTCTATCTTACTGCTACTGCATACCCTGGGAGGCAGCAGTTGATGATGGCCCAAGTACTTGGTTCCCTGCCACCCACATAGGAGACTTACACTGAATTCCTGGGTCTTAGCTTTGTCCTGACTCAGCCCTGGCTGTTGCAGGCATGTATAAAGTGAACCAGCAGATGGTATATCTCTCTCTCCACTTCAAAACAAACACAAAACAAAAAAGCTACTACTGGCTTAGATCACACCTATGTAACACTTTAGTGAAAAATAGATAAGATTTGGCAGCAAAAGGAAGGAGTTATACTGTACCTAAACATAATGAGGATTAATCTGCAGTTTTATTTCAGTTCTTTACGTCTTCAAAATCAACAAATAATTGAAAGCTTTTTAAAAATACGGACCCTTGATTTAGTGGTAGTATGAGGAATGGCAGATTCCTCTGTGGTGGTCATTCCCAGCCTTGCAGAGTTACCTATCTGACTAAAGAGAGTTATGGTGAACCTTGCTTTATCTTAGTTTTTATCACAGCCCTTGCCAAGATGACTTAATTGTAGAGAACTGGTATTACTAAAACATATTGTTGCTTGGTGGTTTTAGTCTTCATTTTACAAGAACAATTAAGTAAATCTTTCTTCATTGAGTATTTAGTGTGATGCAAGTATGGCATTTGGAGGCCTAGAAGTAGTGAAAATCTGTTACAGCCTTCCAGGAGCTTAATCTGAAAAACTTAACTAAAATCTAGCACTTTGTGTATATTGCTATGACTGCTCAGCCTTTATTATACCAACAATTCAAAATCTCTCCCTTGTGAGATGCTCAGTGATGCTGAGTGATGCAGGGATGCGCATCCTCCTGCACATCACTGTGGAGTCAGGATGTCTAGGCATATGCTGGTCCTGGCTCTTCGTCTTGGCCCGAGTTTGTAACTCCTGGGCCACAACAGGTCCTGAATCTGTCTTAGCAGCAGTGCTGCTGCAAGAGTGTGGTGCATTCCCTACACCCTCTTCCAGTGCAGAGGATAACTGGAGGTTGTGACCGCTGGGATCCTTTGTATTCAGAGACCTCCCAGTAAGTTACAGCCTCAGCCTTGACTCAGTCAGGTGGTCTTTGAGTTTGGAAAATTGGCCCATAATTTTCACTTATACCATAACCCCTGACGTAGGCTTCAGTTCTACAGCATAAAGTAGACTGATATCCAAGTTTGCCACTCCTAGAATTTTCTTTCTTACATTGTCTGTGATTGTAAATGAAAATAAGAAAAATAATTCCTCACACTTTGAATTTCTCATTATAAGTACTCTAAATTGTGTGTTATTTCTGTATCATATAGATCCCTTTAACATTTAAAACTATACCACAGATATACATAGTATGTCCTTATGCCATTTGTTCTTGTTTCTCTTATAAATACAAATGAGTACACTGTTTCCACTTATGTTAAAGGTGATGTTTCAGGGCCAGTGTTGTAGCATAGCTGGTTAAGCCTCTGACTGCCAAGCCAGCATTGAATATGGGCACTGGTTTGCATCCCAGCTGCTCCACTTCTGATCCAGCTCCTTGCTAATGCACCTGGGAAAGCAGTAGAAGATGGCCCAAGTACTTGGGACCCTGCTACCCACTTGGGAGACCTGGATGAAGCTCCTGGTTCCTGACTTTGGCCTGACTCAGCCTGAGCATTGCAGCCATTTTGGGGATGAACCATTGGATGGAAGATCTCTTTCTCTCTCCCATTTTTAGTTACTCTGCCTTTCAAATAAATGATTTTTTTAAAAAACTAATAAAAAAAGTGATGTTTCATTCAATCAGATCAGTCATTCTGTAGTATTGTTTGTGACTTTTGATTTCCTGATTAAATTTGTTCTCATTCAAAATGTGTTAATGATTTTTAAAATTCCTATGTTATAACTTATACATCATTTCTTTTTTTTTTTTAAGGTTTATTTTATTTATTTGAAGGCAGAGTTACAGAGAGGCAGAGAGAGAGGTCTTCCATCCTCTGTTTCACTACTTCAAATGGCCACAGCAGCTGGATCTGGGCCAATCTGAAGCCAGGAGCCAGGAGCTTCTTCCGGGTCTCCCATGCTGGTGCAGGGGCCCAAGCACTTGGGCCATCTTCTTCTTCTTCTTCTTCTTTTTTTTTAAATATTGATTGATTGATTGATTTGAAAGTCAGAGTTTCATAGAGAGAGAAGGAGAGGCAGAGAGAGAGAGGTCTTCCATCCACTGATTCACTCCCTAGTTGGCTGCACTGGCCGAAGCTGCACTGATCTGAAGCCAGGAATTTCTTCCAGGTCTCCCACACAGGTCTTGGGCCATCTTCACTGCTTTCCCAGGCCATAGCAGAGAGCTGAATTGGAAGCAGAGCAGCGGTACTTGAACTGGAGCCCATATGGGATGCCGGCACTGCAGACGATGGCTTTACTGCTATGCCACAGCGCTGGCCCCTTGGGCCATCTTCTACTGCTTTCCCAGGCCATAGCAGAGAGCTGGATTAGAAGTGGAGCAGCTGGGACTCGAACCGGCACCCATGTGGGATTCTGGCACTGCAGATGACAGCTTTACTCACTGTGCCATAGCATCAGCCCACTAATGATTTTAAAGAAATGCTTGGGAAATGCACAGTGAACTTAAATTTTATAAAAAGACTGATGTTCAGTTGCCACGCTATCAAGTGTATTAAATCAGTTCAAATATATTGAATTGCAAATTCCAGAAAACTCAACTCTAGATGACTTATATGAAGAGAGAGAAAGCTCCCAACTGTTAGTTTACTCCCTAAGTTTCTGCAAAACCTGGGGCTGGGCTAGGTTAACACTAGGAACCTATAACTCAATCCAGGTCTCCCAGGTGGCAGGGATCCAACTACTGGAGACATCACCTGCTGCCTCACTAGGTCTGTACTGGCAGGAAACTGAAAAAAGAAGGGAATCCAGGACTCAAACACAAGAACTCTGATATGGGATGCAGGCATCCGAAATGCAACATAATTGCTGCACCAAATGCCTGCCCCATGAAGAGTGTTGAATGGGTTGTGGAGCTAGAGGACCAGCAATAAGCCAGGCTTTAGGATTGATTTGGTTTAGCAACTCAACAACGATGTTAAAATTGAGATTCCTGCCGGTGCCGCGGCTCACTAGGCTAATCCTCCGCCTTGCGGCGCCAGCACACCGGGTTCTAGTCCCGGTCAGGGCGCCGGATTCTGTCCCGGTTGCCCCTCTTCCAGGCCAGCTCTCTGCTGTGGCCAGGGAGTGCAGTGGAGGATGGCCCAAGTGCTTGGGCCCTGCACCCTATGGGAGACCAGGATGAGTACCTGGCTCCTGCCATTGGATCAGCGCGCTGTGCCGGCCGCAGCAGCCATTGGAGGGTGAACCAACGGCAAAGGAAGACCTTTCTCTCTGTCTGTCTCTCTCACTGTCCACTCTGCCTGTCAAAAAAAAAAAAAAATTGAGATTCCTTTTTTCTGCTGTGCTGTGTCCATTCTTACCCTCCTCCCGTGAGGACAAGGCAGTTGCCGGCCATGTCCACATCACAGGCTTTTTTGCTGTTGTCCAATGATTTTTTTTTGTTTGTTTTGTTTTTTGACAGGCAGAGTTAGACAGTGAGAGAGAGAGACAGAGATAAAGGTCTTCCTTCCTTTGGTTCACCCCCAAAATGGCCGCTACGGCTGGTGTGCTGCGCCGATCAGAAGCCGGGAGCCAGGTACTTCCTCCTGGTCTCCCATGTGATGTTTTTAATTGCTTTGCTCTGAAAACCTTTGTATATATCTCTTTGATCTTACCTAGGAGTGTATCCGTGCCTCAGACCAGCAACTATGGCTGGAGTGGGATTATTCTGAGTAGCTCAGGCGTTGAGCCAGCTTCCCCCAAAGTATAGGGCTGTGGGAAGGAGGTGCAGGAACCCCCATCAGAGAGGAGTAACTATCCATAGGAAGAGCTCAACAAAGGGTGACAACCACACTCTCTCCTATGCCAGGTGACTTGAAGTCATTTGGGTATTATTATAAAAGTGCTTGTTTTATTTTGTTTTTTAATATTTTCTCCTTGTTCCATCTTTAGCGGCTGTTACAGCAACCAAACGGACAGGCATTCCGGCTCCAAGGGAAATTTCAGTAACAACTTCAAGAGAGAGGTCTGTGCCGCGTGGTCCCTCCAATCCTCGGAAATCAGTGCCCAGTCCTACTTCTTCCAGCACCCCCACTCCTACCAAGCACCTGAGGACCACTTCCACCAAACCCACCAAGCAAGAGAATGAAGGTGGGGAGAAGGCGGTGCTGGAGTCTCAAGTTCGAGAACTTCTGGCGGAAGCCAAAGCCAAAGACAGTGAAATCAACAGGCTGCGAAGTGAACTCAAGAAATGCAAAGAGAAAAGGGCACCGAGCACCGAAGGAGCTGACACTTCAGACCCAAGTGTTGATGTAACGCTGGTCCCAGCAGGCGACCCAGAACCCCTGATAAGGGCTCTTCAGGAGAAGAACAGGAACTTTCAGAAAGAGCTGGCCTTGCTGGAGGAAGAAAACCGATCCCTAAAGGAGAAACTGACCTACCTTGAGCAGTCTCCAAATTCAGAAGGGGCGGTGAGTCACACTGGTGACAGTAGCTGCCCGACATCCCTAACTCAAGAGTCAAGTTTTGGAAGCCCCACCGGGAATGAGCTGTCGAGTGAAATCGAGGAATATAAAAAAAACTCACATGAAACTGCATTACGGACGTCGGGTTCTTCAAGTAGTGACGTCACCAAAGCTTCTTTGTCGCCAGATGCCTCTGATTTCGAGCACATTCCAGCAGATATCCCCTCCCGCCCTCTGTCCTCCACCAGCAACCCTTTTAAGAGCTCCAAGTGCTCCACCACTGGTAGTTCCCCTAACAACGCTAGCGAGCTGTCCCTGGCTTCCCTCACAGAGAAGATCCAGAAGATGGAAGAAAACCACCATAGCACCGCAGAGGAACTACAGGCTACCCTGCAGGAACTGTCAGACCAGCAACAGATGGTGCAGGAACTGACAGCCGAGAATGAGAAGCTGGTGGATGAGAAGACGATGTTGGAGACGTCCTTTCACCAGCATCGGGAGAGGGCAGAGCAGCTAAGTCAAGAAAACGAGAAGCTGATAAATCTCCTGCAAGAACGAGTGAAGAATGAAGAGCCCAGCGCTCAAGAGGGAAAACTGCTTGAGCTGGAGCAGAAGTGCACAGACATCCTTGAGCAGGGCCGCTTTGAGAGGGAGAAGCTGCTCAGCATACAGCAGCAGCTGACCTGCAGCTTACGCAAGGTGGAGGAAGAGAACCTGGGAGCTTTAGAAACAATTAAACGCCTAAAGGAAGAAAATGAAAAGCTGAATGGATTTCTAGAACTGGAGCGGTGTAACAATAGTATGATGACGAAAACTTTGGAAGAATGTCGAGTTACCCTGGAAGGTTTGAAGATGGAGAATGGGTCTTTGAAGTCTCATTTGGAGGGTGAGAAGCAAAAAACTCTAGTGACTAGTACCCTGGGACAGAAGGCGGAGAGCTGTGAAATTCAAGAGCTGCTCAAAGTCGCCAGAGCTGAGAAAGATCAACTGGAGCTGTCCTGCACCGAGCTCAGACAAGAATTGCTGAAGGCCAATGGTGAAGTTCAACGTGTTTCAAGCCTACTCGCCAAGGTAAGAAGGCGTACCTCTACTGACAGGTGCGCATCCTTACTGACATTTTTCTCCTGGAGAACTCCTAGAGCAGAAAGAATAATTTGTTCCCTCAATTTCCTTGATGAGTCCAGCGTTCTAGCTTGCAGACCTGTTAGATTCCAGGCAGAATAGCATTGGAAATACAAAAGTGAAACACCCAAATTTCTGACTGTGGGAAGCTCAAAGCATGGTTGGGATGCAGTGAATCAAATCAGAGAGTATGATGCAGTTATACAGAGTGTCATAGAATCTATCCCCAGATGCTAGTTTAGTGTAGAGAGCTAGGAGGGGGAGTGAGGGCTAGTGCAGGAGGGCTTCCTGGAAGACGTAGCAATATTGAGACTTCAATATTGAGTGAAAGTTAGCCAGGTCTATCATTTAGCATGCTTTTAGCTGCTGGTCACAGATAATTAAAATCACATCTTATTTTTTCCACTAAGTTATAACATAACACTGTTTTCATGCCTCTTCCAGATATATGTGTGTGTCATATATGAGCATCTCACAAGTTAAAAAAAAATTAGAATCATCATGTACATGTTACCAATTTTTGTTTTCACATTTAATAGTTTCTGAGCATATTCTTGTAATTAAATGTTCTTTTAAACATTATTTTAAAGGTCAAATAGTATTTTATTATATGCATATTTCTTATTTACTAGTTCCCTGAAGTTAAATATATATGTTGGTACTTCAAATAGTACATGGAAAATGCCTAATATGAGAAAACTGTATACATTTCACAAAATTTTGTATGAAAATAGTCTTTTAATTCAGTTTTCCTGCAGAGTTTTTGAAGTACTTTCATATGTTATAGTGAATGTTTATGTTCTTTCTGGTCTTCTTGATATTGTAAACTTTTTTTTATATATCTCTCTGATTATTTCTTTAGGAAAAATTCCTAGACGTTGACTTAATGAGTCAAAGAGTATAAACATTTGAAAGACTTTCAACACATCCAGCCAGATTGCCCTTCAGAAATATGCCAGTTTATTCTCCCTAGCAGTTCATGAGAGCACTTGTTTCTTAAGTTCTTGCCAGCACTTGATATTAAAATTATGTCATTCAAATCTGTTAATCATTTCCTTAGTTTTTTAAACCTTTTTTTGCTTGGAAAGATCTTCTCCAGCCCACAATCAAATAAATGATCACTCCTTTTTTTTATTTTTTAAAATTTTTTTTTTTTTTTTGACTGGCAGAGTGGACAGTGAGAGAGAGACAGAGAGAAAAGTCTTCCTTTTCCGTTGGTTCACCCCCACAATGGTCAACCGGGACTAGAACCTGGTGTGCCGGCACACCACAAGTAGAGGATTAGCCTAGTGAACTGTGGCGCTGGCCACTTCTTGTATCTTTTAAAATAACCTTTTCGGGGCCGGCGCTGTGGCTTACTTGGTTAATCCTCCGCCTGCGGCGCCAGCATCCCATATGGGCTCCAGGTTCTAGTCCCGGTTGCTCCTCTTCCAGTCCAGCTCTTTGCTGTGGCCCGGGAGGGCAGTGGAGAATGGCCTAAGTGCTTGGGCGCCTGCACCTGTGTAAGAGACCAGGTGGAAGCACCTGGCTCCTGGCTTCAGATCGGCGTAGCTCCGGTGTGGCGGCCATTTGGAGGGGGTGAACCAACGGAAGGAAGACCTTTCTCACTGTCTCACTCTATCAGTCAAAAAAATAATAATAATAATAACTTTTTGGATCAGTCTGGAACCGTGTTCTGTGATGCAAGACTAGTGTTGCTTATGTGGTATCTGCCCACCTTGCAGAGTGGTGCTGAGAAAGGTGCAGAGATGGGAGAAGTGTTCCCGTTCCTCCTGCCGTCAGGCTCCTCTGGGCCTGTGATCTAGGGGTTGCTGAAGGGAGAGGTTAAAAACATCTCTGCTTATTTCAGGGATTGTCACTGTTTCAAGAAGCAAATTATGCTGGGAACTCCTAGCAAAAATTTTCCTCACCTGCTTAAGACCAGGTGTTTTTGTTTTTGTTTTATAAGATTTTATTTATTTGAAAGGAAGAGGTACAGAGAGAGAAGGAGAGACAGAGAGAAAGGTCTCCCATCCGCTGGTTCACTCCACAAATGACCAAAATGGCCAGAACTGGGCTGATCCTAAACTAGAAACCAGGAGCTTCTTCCAGGTCTCCCACATGGGTACAGGGTCCCAAGTACTTGGGCCATCTTCCATTGCTTTCCTATGCCATAAACAGAGAGCTGGATTGAAAGAGGAACAGCTGGGACACGAACTGGCGCCCCTATGGGACGCCGGTGCTGCAGTCAGAAACTTAACCTATTCCACAGCACTGGCCCCTTATAAGATCAGTTTTAAGGTCACCTGGTTGCACACTGATTCTGTATTTGGCTGTCATACAATCTTGGTGGTGGGTTGTATTAGGACGGTCTTGTTTTGTTTTTTAAACCATTGTGTGTGTTCTAAATCCACAGATATTTTATAGAAAGTGTGAAAGCAATTTTATTAGAGGTCAGTAGATAGGCATTTATTTAATTAGTTGTTAATTAAAGCTTTAAATTTAGTATCTTGTCTAATAAGATCACTCTTTTGCTTTAAGATTACTCATTGCTCTTTTGCAAGTTAATCTCCCAGGTGGACCTTCTTGAAGTCTTCCTCACTTGCTCATCTGTGTCTTTGGTGTTTTGTTTGGCATCATATTAAATAGATAAGTCAGTGAGAAAGAATTTAGCATCTTAAAAAAGTAAACTTATTTTTTCCAAACATAAATTTATATACTCATCACAAAAGACTTAGAAAATATAGAAAAGTATAAAAAATAAAATGAAGGTGACTTTTAATCTCACTACTTGGAGAAAAAACTGCCAGTACTTTGCTGTGTGTCCTTTAGAACTTTGGGTACAACTTTATATCAACACAATTACAATTTTTTTAAAAATTATTTATTTATTTATTTGAAAGGTAGAGTTTACAGAGAGAAAGGGAGAGACAGAAGGAGAGAGAGAGAGAAAGAGAGAGAAAGAGATCTTCCATCCATTGATTCACTCTCCAAATGGCTGCAACAGTTGGAGCCAGGCAGATCCAAAGCCAGGAGCGAGCCTCCGGGTCTCCCAAGCAGGTGCAGGGGCCCAAGGACTTGGGCCATCTTCCGCTGCTTTCCCAGGTGCATTAGCAGGGAGCTACAGGCTCACCACAGCCCTGGCCCCAGTTTACTTGTTTGAAAATAAAAGATGAGTATTGAATTTTCTTCTAAATTTATTGACGTGATCTGATATAATCATGTTTAATGACATGGATTACAGGAACAGACTTTCTAAGGTAGTCTAAAGTTCAGTCATTTTGGCATACCTAGGGTAAATCCCAGTTCTCAGTGGCTTCACTTGATGTTTTTGTCTAGAACTTTCAAATACAACCACCAAAAGCAGATGTAAAATGACTGTTCTGTTAATCACCAGTCAGACTGCATTCATCTATCACAATTCTTGGCAGAAGGTGAATGTTACCAGCCAGAACAAAAGAGGGACAAGTATGGTCTCATGATGGGCTGGGACTCCTGCATCCCATGTTGCAATGCCTGTTCAGGTTCTGGCTGCCCTGCCTCTGATCCAGCTCCCTGCTAATGCACCTAGAAGGCCATAGATGATGGCATGGCCCAAGTGCTTCGGCTCCTGCCACTTGTGTGAGAAACTCAGATGGAGTTCCTGGCTTCTGCCACGGATGGAGGGTCTCTTTCATTGTCACTCTGCCTTTCAAATAAACAAATAAGTCTGTTTTTGAAAACAAAGCCCTCACAAAATCATGTATTGACAAAGGGGAAAAGCAATGCCACACTGTCCTATGATCTAATACAGTATATAATGGGCTAAATCTAATGGAGCTAATAGATTTAGTGAATGTATGTAAGTTTTCAGTTCTCATAAATTGCATAAATTGCTCAGATACTGTTAGAAGAGCCTCTAAAAAGCCTTAAAATGTACTTTAAAAACCAGAAATTGGGTCTCTTCCTCTTATAATAAATGGAAAACTGATAGGACTTTTTACAATAGTTGTGTGATTGTTTTGTAGACATTTTCTTCCTCTCATTTGTCTTTAGCTGCCTACCAGCACCTGTGTCCTTTTTGCAGCTTCTCTGATAGGGCCATATACATTTTCCTGGCCGCTGATCTGTGGTCACATGACATGCATCTGAGCAACTCTGAGGAAGAGTCTGATTTTCACAGAATCCCCAGGCCTCACATGTGCCTGCCATAGCCAGTAAACAGCATAATTAGGAATATTGTTTTCCAGACTGCAACACAACCCAGCTGTTTAAAAAATTTCTATTTTATTTTATTATTTTTAAAGAGTTTTTTATTTATTTGAAATACAGAGTTACAGAGAGGTAGAGGCAAAGAGAGAGGTCTTCCATCCACTGGTTCACTCCCCATATGGCCACAACGGCCAGAGCTGCGCCGATCCAAAGCCAGGAGCCAGGAGCCTCCTCCGGGTCTCCCATGCCAGTGCAGGAGCCCAAGGATTTGAGCCATTTTCTACTGCTTTCCCAGGCCAAAGCAGAGAGTGGGATTGGAAGTGGAGCAGCAGGGACTCGAACCGGCATCCATATGGGATGCTGGCACCGTAGGTGGTGGCCTTACCCACTATGCCACAGCGCTGACCCCACAACCCAGCTTTAATATCCTTTTTTATTTCCTCCTTTTTAGTCATTTGGGATCTTGATTTCAAGTTACAGTATCTTTACTGGACTTGAAACCTAGAAGTTCTAAAAGGAAAAATGCCAACCCCAGGCTGAAAGCTTGTGAGTGATACCCTTGGAAACTTAGTTCCCTTCCAGAGGAATAAGAAGACTATAAGCAGTCACTTTCTGTGAGTGGTCAGGGGAGAACCAGTAGAGGTGACGTCATCAGTGTGTGACCAGTATTGGTCCTGAGACCAAATGCTTAGAATCCACTGGCCAAAGATGGCACAGCCAGAATTTGAGAAAGATGTGGCAAGTAGATAATCCTGTAGCTAGGACTTCAGAATAGGATG